ACTTATAAGCCAGTGATTGTCAAAGCTCATGATAAAAAACAATCAGTTGGCAAACAAGGTGAAACATCTAGATTCCTCTGACCCGGCTCATTCTTCTACAGAAAAATGAAATCTCACCGGTATTGAGATTTCGTGGAATTCCTATTCCATTGTTCAGTTTGTCTCTATAGGCCAATTTGAATGGTATTTTTTTTATGGCATAACATGTGGAGTACAGAGAATCACCTGACCAGAACTGGACAATACCCAACCTGGCAATGAATTCTTGATTCTGCCACTGATTCAGAATCAGCTTTAAGAGTTGGTGAATTTCCCACTGCAGAGTCATATAGTCTGCACATGGAGAAAATGTAGAGTTCCAGAAACACGGGAGAAATGGAATTGCTAATTCATATTTGAAGTAGAAGGAAATTTGGCAATTCCTTTCGGGTAGGTCTCTAAACCTATCTATCTCCTGAATTAAAAATTCTATGGAATTACAACTTTTTAGCATTCTGCCTTGTTCCTCAGTCTGCTGCCATTCAGTGGTATCGGGTTCAGCTTAGTGGCTGATTACTAAGCTCGTTAGCAGGATTGATATAGAAATAAAGCAGGCTCATGCTCATCACTCCCAGGATTTTCTTTCCACATTTTACTGAAAGCATTTCCAACTGGTACTTTTCAAGAATTGACTTCCTGGTGTGATTATATTGGCCACAGAATTGCCTATAAAAAAACATTTTGTGATCTGTGTTTAAGCTGAAGCCAAATGTTAACAACAAACAAAGAAGTGAACAAAAACATGGAACCTTGGGGTCATGGCGTGGGGCTTGCTATATGATCACATTGTCTTAATGAGTTGATATTTTATTTTGAAACATGTAGGACTGCCCTCATTCCAATGTCTTTTAATATTTTGCAGTTAATAGATTTTCTTATTCTTTGCTATTGTTTATACTTAGTGGACCTGTAATAACTAAACCCATTCAAATCGTGGCAGGTGCATGAAGTAAAGTACAGGATGTACAGTTCATAAGCTGAGAAGGATAAAAGCAGTAAATGGGCAATTTGGTCATATAACTCCATAGTCTTCATACTTTAACAGAGACTAAAATGTAAATAAAATTTCTCATTTCAGCAACTAGACTGCCTTTCTATCATCTTTACCTGGCTAACGAATGCACATCCTTCAGACCTCAGATGTTGCCTGTTTCAGGCTTTCTGATGTGCACTATTGGCGAGGTGCCCTGACCCACTCCCCAGCCTACTAGGTGCACACACCCTCAGGCCCTTCCGTGGTCCACCTCCCCATCTCTTTTTCACTCTCTGTATGGATGTATCTTACTGTCTGTGGCTGTATCTTATCCTCTGTGTAATCTCAAGCCCAAGAACATTGCTGGCTGGTAGGAAATGGTCATGAAATTATTGTCAAGTAAGTGAAAGTTGCCTCGCAGACAATGGATTTGGATACACTTTGACAGTGGAAAGGACATCACTGTTAACTGTGAGGTTGCTTTATTTCTATTCACTGGCACAAGTATTTGATGAGTGACTCATACCTTGTAGCCACTGGGTGGAAGCATGAAGGTAGTTACAAAGCAGTCCATGGTAGATACAGAGACACTTTCTACAGAGTGTGTATAAGAAAACTGGGGCTACATCAAGGATAAAAGAACTCACAAAGGATTTAGCAAAAAATTATCATAAAATCATAGAATCTTATACTTGAAAGAGACTTCAGAGTACATTGAGTTCAAATTATATCTAATGTAGTTTTTACCCCATAACATTTTAACATAATGTTGACATTTCTTGTTAAATATTCTAGGCGAAATTGTGTGAATATTCTATATTTGTGAATAGCCTAGAATTGGTTTACGACTTTGAATATTTTAAAACGGAACTTGGCAGGGGGCTGGAATGTTTTAGAAGGGAACATCAGATTGGTCTGCCTTAGCTTCAAATTGGGAAGTCACATGGTCTTCATTCATTCAAATTAGGAGGCAGAAGTAGCAGGTGATGCGGTTGATTCTCCCCTTTCAGGCACTGAGCTGAAATGAAGAGCTTTTGGAAGACATCCTCTCCTTTCTTTTGGTATTTAAGGCCAGTTCCTCAGAGAACTGAAATGACCAGGTGTCAGGGAAGAGTCGCTGTTAAGAATTGCTCTTTCCACACATGGCTGTCAACCCTTTGATTTCGAAAGTATATAGATATCTCCTTGACTACTAAGAGTAGCTCTGTGCCAGGCTTTCAAGACAGTGCAGCCTCAAACTATGTGCTCTTACTAAAAACACAGTTGAAAAGAAAATGTTTATTAAGGTTTTAAAACGAGTCTAGACAGGGGTGTTTATCCAAATCAAGGGTGAGACTCAGCAGATACCATAAGCAATGGGGGCTTTCCATCGCAGTGTACCCTCTTCAGCATCATCCACTTGCCCTGGAGCCCAAGCCTCCTTCTGCTGGAGTGGTGGCAGGCTTCAGAAGTAACCCACAAAGCACTTGGCATGATCTAGAACAACAACCAAGAGTTAGGTGACCCACTCTCTCTTGAAGATTGGACTGTGTTGTTTTGGTGCACATTTCTAGAAAGCAGATCTTTTACTGGTCACCTCACAAGTGACTGGGCTCCTCCCAGTTTGTGCCAAGCCTGTGTGCCACCTGTCTGGCTGCCTTACTCGTCATTGTCACTGGGATTAGAAATTGGCTCCATCCCCCTACCCAACAGTGCATGCTGTGCATGTGACAGCCTCTGTTTGGGGGATGGCTTTGGAGCCAAGGCCACTGTTCTGTGTGCCCTTCACTGCTTCAGAGGCTCATTTCCCAACTCATGGAGCACATTCTTCCTCCTCTGAGTTCTTTGTATGCATCAAATCTCCATTTGGGGGAGGTGACCTGGCCTCTTGCCAGAATCAACTTAATCGATCTGGCCAAATGGAGAGAACCTGTCAAGACAACAAAGAATCAACCGAAGCTAGCATGACTTTTTTACCTGACCTCTTATAAACATTGTTCAAGCAGGGATGCCTAGCCATCGATTTGGTTTTCTCCCTCTCTGCTCCGCAAAGTCACCTTGCCGATAATAAACTTAGCTCAAAACCCAGGAGAACACAGGGCTGCTGAACACTGTGTGAAGCGGAAATATAAATTATTATTTTAAATTCCTCCAGAATGGTGACATTAACTCCAATTGTTGCATGGCAACAATTTGCAACTTTCTCAACCTCGGGGGTAGTCTACTTTGTGTAAAGCTTTGACAGCTATGTGCTCTATTTGGGAAGTAAATGGCCAAGGGAAGTCTACCACAAAATATTCTGCAGGTATTCCAACCCATGTCACAACCTACACATATAAACTTTGAGGTTTGGATGAGTCATTTAGGAAATGGTGGTGAATGGCTTTCTCTTCTTCTCTATCCAAAATCCATGTGTAACATGGATCCTTTTGATGTCAGGTGCTCCTAACACTTCATATTTTGTTGATTAGTAAGATGCTCTTTCCATAGGAAAGGAAGGGAGAGATTAGGAGGGAGGGAGGGAAGGGAGACAGGTGAAGAGGAAGGATGATGGAACAGAAGGGAAGGGAAGAACTTGGAAAGGAGAATGGAAAGCCTGACAGAAACACCTAGCCATGCCCTTCCACATTTCCTCTGTGCCACGTCGCACCTTACCGTTGTTGAAGGGGAAAACATGTTCAAGGATGCTAGATAAGAACAGGAAGGCAGACTTCAGTCTGGACCACCACCGTAGGTACAGGGTCACTGCAATGGGATTTTCCAGTGGGGGAGAGAGATGAGGCTCAGCTCTCAATGCTGCATGGGGAGTGGGGGTTACAGCCGAGGAGAGGTGCAGTCCCTGATGGGAAATCTCCAACAGGGAACATCAGGGGTAAGGGGTTCTGGCTAACTTGACCCAGCAGGATCTTGCTAAAGGTAGGCCAGGTGAGCAGACCTCACCTGGGGGTTGGGGGGTAGGGTGGAAGCCCATCAGATATGGAGGGTGGGGGCTTCTTAGTAAACTGACTCAGCAGAGTTTTTGCTAGAACTGGATTTTCCAGGAAGGGGCACGGACGGGCCTGTGAGACTGAAGTTGAGTCAAGCCAAGAATCTTCATCATCACTCCGTCCTTCTGCTCACAAAGAACTGAACATCCCTTTACTTCCTTCTTCACATGGATGCTCTCTATTAGTGAAGCTTATCTGACACCATGCTTGCTAAGTAATCATCTTACAGTTCAGATTCCTTCCCCTCAGTGCTTTTCTCCTCCTTCAGTGTGAATGTCCACCCCGATTGCACCGTCCTGCCTTTTCTGTTCCCGCTATGCACACTGCTCATGCGCAAGCCCAGGCACCTCGAGCTTCAGCTAACATCAGTGATCCTCCTTCTCCTAAATCCGCTGTGTCTTCAGGCATCCCTCCCCTGAAGGCTGGACTCCTCTTTCAACTGATCACAGACCAGTTCCACCTAGACACTGGTTCAAACCTAAACAGGTGCCCATGTTTGAAAGCAAGAATATTTTCTGATATTCATCTTGCCTTTGAAATTCCACAAATAGTTTAGCAATCCACTAACACTGGAAATCCTTGGCATCCTTCTCCTTAACTTCCATGTTCAATAGGCTACAAAACCCATCCATATTAACCCAAGTGTCTCTTGCCTTTTTATGGCTTTTATTTGGAAATACCATTAACAAGAAAAATAACACAAAATCTCAATAAGAAAAGAAGTAAAAGAAATGCATGGGGAAACCATAATTGGGGAAATAGTTTCATTAGCAACTCAAATTGGTTAGCAATTTCATTATTTGAAATATTACTCATTACACAATTGTTGAGAAAAAATGAACAAGTTACAAAGAAAAAAACTATTTCAAATAAAAATATATGTAAACGGGAGAAATAACAATAAGTTAGACACTCAATGATGTTATTTAGTTGGCAATAAGGGTAAACAAATTGTGAATGCGGTACTTTTATAAAAGACAAATTCTCCAAAATGTGTTTATTGGTTTTACTTCTGTTTGTAGCTGGCCACTGTGGTTCCCCAGATCCGATCGTGAATGGTCATATCAGTGGAGACGGTTTCAGTTACAGGGACACTGTGGTTTATCAGTGCAATCCTGGTTTCAGGCTGGTTGGAACTTCCGTTCGGATATGCTTGCAAGACCACAAATGGTCTGGACTGACCCCAGTCTGTGTCTGTAAGTACATTGCGAACAAATTCAGCAGGTGCTTCCTTTGGTCACATTCTCTCTTGGTGTGAAGTCTTAGCACAGACATGTGTAACCTCCAGAGTGAAAGAGAATGGAGAAGCATCCCTCTCACCTGTGCTAAGAGAGATGCTATGGGCACAGCTTTCCTTTGCTGTTTCCTTCCTCTAGACTCCTGTCCACAGTGAATGTGTTCCCTAACCCATCTCAAACAGGTCCCAGGACGAGTGATGTCATGCACTCATTTTCCTGATTTTATCACAGGATCAACAAGGTGCAAACAGAAGCTAATTATAGGAGGACAAAGATGCTGAGTCTGAGTCTGCAGGTTGGCTTTGCAGAGTCCCCAAAATAGCCTCACGCCCCTAATCTTCTGTGTCGTTTTCTATTTTTGTCATTGTTTCATCAAGAACACAGAGTTTTGTAAGCAGTCCTTCCTTTAACAGAGAGAGGTAAAACTGTGTAATGATTGTCTTCTAATTTTATACTATCCAAGATAAATATTTACCTGTATTTTTAGAAGATGTTGTACTCTCTATTGCAAAATTTATTTTAAATCATTTTTTTCCCTAGTGTATTCTTTATTTTCCTGTGAATTAAACAAAGGAAATGTTGATATAGCTCTAGGATAATGACAGGTATCCTCTGGGATGGTGCAGTGGGAAATGTGCAGAGTTCAGGGGTGAAAGCTTTGCTTAGAAGAAAGAACTGTTGACAAGATAAATGAAGAGGAAAAAACAGTTTTATGACTGTAATGTGTTTCTTTTGAAAGGGCCACTGAGGATATCTTTGGGATTTGTATGATTGTTATTTAGGGTGTGACATTAATGACAGTTCACTACATTTCAAAAGACCCTACGATTGGGATTGTCAAGGAAATTCTGTTTGAGCGCACACACTTATTTTGCTACTTTCATGGTGTTTAAATTGATATTGGAATAACTTAGGCATATGCAATTTAAATTATCAGCCAAGCCTCTATAATATTTCAAAACAAGGGTTCCATAAAACTGACTGGTGTATTCTAAAGGGAAAATATTCAAGATTCGTAATTAGTTTAAGAATTTTAGCACCTCTTATTTTTCACTGCTTTATTGTAGAGTTATTTGATATTCTGTCATGATGCAAGAACAATTATGCTGAAGAAAGTACATTTGCCAGTGTTGGTTATTTTCCACAATTATAATATAACCTGGTGGTGGGTCACCTTACAGTTCTCCCTCACCGTTTCCCCTTTCAAACATACATGGGATTTGTAACATGCCTGTATGTCTGTTGGTGAGGAACTCCAAGGGAGGGCGATGGCCTTGGTATTTTCTGTCACTGATGAGGGCCTGTCTTCCTACACAGCCATCACGTGCGGCCACCCTGGGAACCCCGCGCATGGACTCACCAATGGCAGTGAGTTCAACCTGAATGACGTGGTGAACTTCACCTGTAACACTGGCTACCTGCTGCAGGGTGCCTCTCGAGCCCAGTGTCGGAGCAATGGACAGTGGAGTAGCTCTCTGCCCACCTGTCGAGGTAGGAAAGGCTCCCGGAATGAGCCCTGTCAGCCAAGGGTAGCAGGAGGGTGAACATGCCGAGCTCGGTACCCATGTGCATGATGCTTCATCTCAAAGCATAGGATGCCATAACTCAAGGCACAGGATACCACAAACGTTTTCACTGTTCACGGCGGGGAAGACATTTTTGAGAATAAAGCACAAATCCCTCCATGGCCTTTGTTGGTACTGGCCAGGTGTTCGAGCAGAACAGTCTAGGACTCTAATTAAGGTAAACTTGTCTTCCATTTCTTTGTCTTGATCCATTCACTCATCCAGACAGCATCTTTGCATTTTGAGCTTCTAGACCTATAGATCCATTTAAGAAGCTCTCATTGCTTTTAAATCTCTTTTTTTTCATTCATTTTTTTTAATTGCCACACAGATCTAGGCTAAAACCTGAATTTTCGAAAAAATGGTATTTTGGAGCTTTTGTATTTCTAGATGTTTGAGCTCATAGTATGTAAGTTTCTGCTTCAGTGCTTTCCATTAAAACATCTCATGCGCTGAAGGTGAGTCAGACTTTACTGTGAAGGTGAAGGAGTTTTTATGGCAGCTATGGTATGAGAGCCAGATACTTCATGAGTTTTCCTCTTGCTGACAGTCACCCACCTTCCCACTGGGCTCCCAAGGAGGCTACATCCAAATAAGACAATAGCACAAAGGGATCCAAGCAATTTTTAAAAATAGTTATGTGAAATTGGTAACAAACTGTAGAGTCCTGGTACAAGTTTCTGTTGGAGTACTGGGCTTAAGCTCTAGATGAAGTGAAGTCTCCTAATTTCACTTCCCTCTAAACACTTGCATTAGATTCACCCTATTTCAGTGTAGAGGAAATCTTGCCACAAAGAGAAAGCCCCATTGGTCCCCTTGTCCTCCCTCTCCCCAGAAAGCAGTCTTTTGTCTGTGATGTGGTTGGGCGTGGGGTGCAGAATGCACTTTCTCACTGAGTTTCCTATGGAAGAGCCCCTTGCTAGTCTCCTGACAATGTGGGTGGTCTGGTCAGCTTGAAAACTAACAAGTTTACCTTTTGTTATTATTATTGTTGTTGTTGTTGTTGTTATCAGTTGTATGAGCCAGGGGTCAGGGTGAAGGGTGAGCGGGGTTAGGGGACATCATTGAATGTGTGTACCCAACCGCACAGAACCCTGGTTTCTGCGCACGTCTCGCCTCTCGGCACTGAACATCAGGACAGTGGCAAGAACCACCCTCCGCTCTCCCAGGGAGGCATGAGCTTCACATTCTTCCAGGAGTGGTGAGGATGGGGGCAGCTGCAGAAAGATGCAGCTATTAACGTCTGCCACGTGTCCATGTGGCTATAACGATTTAGAAAAAGATTAACCAGCTTTAATCAAACTGTTTTCTCCACCTGTAGGACAGGAAAACAATAGCACAACAGAAACAATGATTAAAAAATGAATGCCCGTAAATGTGGGTCCAATTTGTCCTCATGCAGGGGTACAGCATAAGTGTGCGTTGATGGCTTAGGTACATCAGAGCGCTCTAGATCTGTTCCCCAAAGCCCTTCCAGTCAACTTAATATAACATTTATTAAGCTCATGCTGTATTCCAAATGCTGTGCTATGTACGCACTGTCAGTACAGAGATAGGGAAAGTAATTCATACCTTTAAGGAGATACAATGAAGAGGACCAGGGGAGTGAGCTAACTAGGGAGGGAGAATGTCACCCACAGAAACTGAGACATCATCCATTTGACACATAACATCTTCTTGCTGGGTGAAAGATGGAATGAACTCAAATTGTGGGCTTTTCATGGTCAAACCTTTTTTTGTGATCTATATTCCATTTTCCTCTAACTTATACCAAATAAGAGGAGTAGAAATTAAATGCTGTCATTTATTAATGGTTTTCAGGGTTTTAGATTCTGTCCTTTAGAGGCCTACAGCACAGCATAATGCTGGGATGTATAGTAACCTCTTCAGGCTTCATTTTGCCTTTTCTTACCTTTCTCCCTTTTCTCAAAATATATGAAGGTACTTAATTTTTAGCAGACTTTATTTTTCAGAACACAGAAAGGAAATGTTATAAGTTTGTAGAAAAATTGAGCAAAGGAAACAGATTTCTCATGTAACCCCTCCCCACACAGACACACGGCCTCCCCCACTATCAGCATCCCCACCAGATGGTGCATTTGCGACAATTGGTGAACCCACAAGGACACATCATCTTATCCCAGAGCCCACAGTGAACATCAGGGTCACTCTTGGTGTCGTTCATTCTATGGGTTTGGACCAATACATAATGACATGTATCCACCCTGAGAGTATCATACAAAATAGCTTGACTACCCTAAAAATCCCCACTGCTCCACCTGTTCATCCCTCCCTCCCCAACTAACCCCTGGTCACTACTGATCTTTTTATTGTCTCCTTAGTTTTGCCTGATCCAGAATGTCATATAGTTGAAATTATACTGGATGTAGCCTTTTCAGACTGGCTTCTTTCTCTTAGCAATATGCATTGAAGGTTCCAACATATCTTTTCATGACTGGATAGCTCATTTCTTTCTTGTGCTAAATGATATTCCATTGTCTGGATGGGCCACAGTTTATTTATCCATCACCTACTGAAGGACATCTTGGTTGCTTCAAGTTTTGGTAATATAGAGGTTTTTGTGTGGACATGAGTTTTCAGCTCCTTTGGGTAAATGCCAAGGGGCATGATTACTGGATTGTATGATAAGAGCATGTTTAATTTTTTGAGAAATCACCAACTGTCTTCCAAAGTGGCCGCACCATTTTGTACTCCTGCCAGCAATGGGTGAGGGTCCCCGTTGCTCCACATCCTTGTCAGCTCTTGGTGTTGTCAGTATCCTGGATTTTGGCCATTCTCATAGGTGTGTAGTGGCTCTCCTGCTTGTTTTAATCTGCATTTCCCTGATGACATATGATGTGAGGCATCTGCTCTGCTCACCTACCAGCTGTGTACCTTCCTTGGAGAGGTGTCTGGTAAGGTCTGTGGTCCAGTTTGTATTTGGGTTGCTTGTTTTCTTACTGTTGAGTTTTAAGTATTCTTTGTATATTTTGGATTAATAGTCCTTTATTCATCACCTCCTTTGCTAATATTTTCTCCTACTCCATGGCTTGTCTCTCATTCTCTTGGCACTGCCTTTTATAGTGTAGAACTGTTAAGTGTGTGCTCCACTTTCAAAGCTGCTATGTCCAGTGCATCTGGTGAAGGGGGAAGATGGCTGGCAGATGCAGTCCTACGGGTGTTAGTAGACTGGAAATCACTAGAACATCTCCAGGGTGCCTTTGCTCAGCACTTCTTGTTCTCTGTTGTTTTGTTTTCTTCATTTATGAGCTAAGAGATAGGATCTAGGGAACAGAATTTACATGTTTATTATAAAACCAGGAAAATCATGATTTCTAAGAGGACAGGCTCATAAAGGTGGTGAAGCCTTAAGGAAAAAATGGCATAAAACTCAAAAGTTGAAGGTAACAAAAATAGCTACTTTTTAAACAAAATTCCCAGGCATTCATAATGCGTATTGCAGTACAACCTGATTCTTATCTTATGTGGTTCCTCGAATAATTCCACAGAAGTTTTAGGATGTCATGTCTTATGCAAGCATGCTGTTGTGCTTGATTTCTTCTCCCAAATTCTTGATCATATCTTGATCACATTTGAGAAATGTCTGATTTGGGTAGGTCAATGAATTGTGGAATTTGGGGTAATCCTACAACATTTAGTTAGTTCATGATGTGAAAGAGAAACTCCACCCAGAACTTTGGAATGGAACTCCAAATAAATCTGTGCTGAAGTGAGGCCAGATTACATAGAGATTTCTACAAAGTCTGTCTCCACTCTGGGGCCACCTCATTGTTCTCAGCCCTTAACAGGAAGAAACTCTACCTGAGCCTGCAGCATCTGTGACCAATCAGAAGGCTCACACCCAGGATGCTAGCTATAATGCTTTATACTCAACCGCTAACACTATCTTTGCAAAGAGGATTATGAAAGTAAGAGAAGGTATGTTTTTTGTTAGTAGTTATAGTTCTCTTGAAGAAATGTATAATAAATGATATGGCTGCAGATTTCATGATAAGGAATGAAAACAAATGTCTCATATCTGTTTTAAGAATCCGATTATGTACACCATCCTGGAGGCCCATGTTTCTATATAGAAGCTTTCTTTGAACGTTCATTTCCTAAGTTCCAAAATATGTAAATAAGCTCAAAGTTTCAGTCAGTTCAATGAGAATGCCAAGCCTGACAAAGTTTTAGGAAAATTGACTTGATATTTCCTTTCTTAATGTAATAATTTTTGTAAGGCATACAAACCTTAGACAGTTTTCCCTTTCTTATCTGTAGTTCTGTAGGAATGGGTATTTAAAATCAGAGATGTAAAACATATGTCCCCATGTGATTATACACATGAAGATAAACAAAATTAAGAAAATGTGGGGTTAGTGAAGTTTCAGTTATGGTTAGAGAGGAATAAAAAAGGAAACAATAAAAAAAAACAACTTACTGAAGAAGCACTATGCATATGATTGCATTTGTAGGTCTATGAAAAAGCATATGCATTATCATAGTATCATATCATATCATATTATCTCATATTATCCAAAATTTAAAATGGTAAAGTTTTCAAATTAAGGGAAACATAAGAACCAATTCCATGTTTGTGGCTTTCTTTAGCACAAGTCTTCATTGGGTCTACAGATAAATGGCAGTCAGGACTTACTGTTGAATATGGGGTCCCTGGAAATGAATAGCAGGCTCTCTCCAAGAGCAGAAAGAGCACTGGGGCTGGCAGCTTCCAGAAGCTGCCCTTAAATCCCTACTTGAAGAGTATTTCCAGGGGCAGAAGGGGATTGATTTCTACCCTTTAGGTTTTTCAGTGTGTGACACAGGATTGCTCTGTGCAGACACGGTGCCGTGGGGCTGATCTATCCAACTCACTCATCGTGTAGAACTCAATATAGGGTCTATGGTCAATGATCCGCTTCACAT